TATGGAGCATATAGAGGCAATTTAAGCAACTAGGAAACCCAATCATAACAGGATACTTTTCACATAAGGACCTAAGAACCCTAGAGGCAAATTTCTCACAAATAAGTCCGAGCACACACTCGTCACCTTGCATGCATGGACTACAATTAGCATAGAAGACTCAATTCCTAAGGGGAAGTTACCCACACAAGGTTAGGCAAGATACTTACCTCAATCCGGCCAATTCAATACTCAATTTAGCTTTTCCTTTACCAATTCATCAATGCTCGACTCAATCTAGCCAAAAACGACTTGAATACATCAAACAATGCACGAGAAAATAATTTCAATTGACTAAACTATGATTCTTATACAACTTGCACAAAGTTAACTCCTCGGGCCCGCATCTCGGAACCCGACAAAATTTACAAAAATCGAACACCATTCTGCTACGAGTCACCTATACAAAAATTATCTAATTCCGATACCATTTGGTCATTCAAATAATCATTTTACATTTTTGAAGGATTTCACAATTTTCCCCAAATTTTCCTTTAGATTCTCGTTAATTTGATATTAAATCTAAGATATAATCACAAAATATAGTTGAAAATTGATTAGAGACACTTACCCAATGATTTGGAGAAGTTTGTGTCCTTGAAAAATCATCCATGGAGGTTTAGGGTTTGAGAAAATTGAAAAATGGATGAAAATCTCGTCAAAAACCTCACTTAACAGGCCTCAGATGTCGCATTTGCGACCCAGGGTTTGTATTTGCAAACTCCTCACAATTACGAACAACACAGGGCTGGCAGAAGTCGCATTTGCAAAAAAAATCTCGCATTTGCGAACTGGGCATCGCAAATGCGATAAAAAGTTCGTATTTGCGACCCCACCAGAACCAGCAATTTTTCCTGACACAAAAATGAGCATAACTTCTTCATACGATATCCAAATTCAATGATTCTTTTTCCTATGACTCCATAATTTTGATACGCATCTAATAATTTAAACAAAACTGAATTTGGATCTCATTTGCTCAATATGGTATTATTTTTGCTTGAAGAGACGACGATGAAGCATCCAAAAACAAGCACAACATAGCCTAAACATATTCGAAACTCTCCCAAGCCCTCGGGGCTTCCAACCAAACATGCACGCAAGTCTAAAAATATCATATGGACGTCCAAATCATCAAAATGACATCAAAATTATGAATTTAACCTAAAAACTCTTGATTTTCTAACTTTTCAACTGGACGTCCAAATTACGTCAAATCAATTCCGGTTTTCACCAAATTTTACAGACATAACTTAAATATCATAACAAACTTGTACCGGACTCCGAAACTAAAATACGGGCCCGATACCAATGAGTTCAAATATTAATTCATTTCTTTATTTTCTTTAAAAACCAGCACAACAATTTTCTTCAAAAATTATTTTCTAAGGCTAGGGACCTCGGAATTCAATTCCGGGAATACGCCCAAGTCCCATATTTCACCGCGGACCTTTCGGGATCGTCAGAACATAGATCCGAGTTTGTTTACCAAAGTCAACTAAAAACCAAATTTTAACTCTAAAAATTACTATTTTGTTTTTCATATTTTCACATATAAACTTTCCGGTTTCACGCCCGGACTGCGCACGCAAGTCAATACACATAATATGAAGCTACTCGTGACCTCAAACTGCCGAACCAGATAAAATTGCTCAAAATGACCAGTCAGGTTATTGCAACCACAAACATCCTTCAACTCAATAGCATCTGACAAGTTGATTTCAACTAAATTCTCATAGTTTAACACCAAATTGGACAACCCCATATGGCTAAAAAGGCTTAGACCTTGATAGATTAATTGACCTTAACATTTTCTTGCATAAACTAGTTTTAATTGTGAGTGAATTGAAGTGCCTGTAATTCTAGGACAAAGAGAAAGATCAAAATTGGAAACTCGAGGATAATGACCCAATCATAATATGCATGTAACATTTAACTTAAGCAATCTATGGATGTTACTCACACAATTAGATGACCAAATGTGAGAACCAAGTTTTAAAGAAAGAGGTGATGATGGTGGTTATGGGAGGGAGGGGTAAAGGGGGCGGTAATTGGTAGAAGAAAGGTTGGAAAGAGTGGTAAAATGGGATTGGGAGGTGAGCTGGCATGTCATGTGGCGTCCATATCAACATAATGTTGTACCACGTAGGTTGATATTAGCCATGGTGGAAGGCCCGAACGGAGGAGGGGTATTTTTTGCACAAGTTTTGTAACGTTAGAGGTAATAGTGGACCGAAAGTATAACGGAGGATATAAGTGATCCTTTTTACATAGTAGAAGGGTAGTTTTGACCCTTTTCCCTAATTTATATGCAAGTTGTTTGAATCCGGAACCTAAATGTTGTTGTTTTGGACTCAAACACGTTTTTAAGTGTAAAAAAGAGTTACTTTTCTATGTAAAATGCGGTTATGAACCATGTTTTACATAGAACACGGTAACAAACCGTGATTTATATAAAGTTAAAAAGACAATTANTATATATATATATATATAAATATCAGAATCCCTTCCATTTCCCCCACGTTCTGCCCAGTCTTCCCTTGCGTGTTTTAAAAAAAAATGGTCCCCCCTCTATTAACAACAAAAAAACTCGTGTGGACCCCACCCATCTCGTAAAAAATCGATATTGTTGGTCTCATATCCTAGCCAAGCCTTCTATTGTTGTGGGTTGCTTGTTTTGGAGTCAAATTTTCAAATCTTCAACTTTCCAGAAAACATAAATCGAGGTATCCCGATTTAGTTTATGTCCAAACTTGCATAAATAATGTATATTAGTTGTTTTGAATGTGTTGTATGTTGTTTTGTATTTTTTTTTTTTTGCGATTAAATTAGTATGTTATTTCTATCCGGACTAAAATATTAATGTTGTAAAATATATGTTAAAATTATGAAATCGTTATTATTTGTTAATAAAAATATTAATAAATTATTATTACTATTTTATATGTATTTTTGTGATTCCAATGTATTTATTGTGTTTTATGTCATTTTTTTTTTGCTTAAAGACTAGTAAATCGGAACACCTTTTAGGGTAGTAAAATGTAATGTCTTCTAGGTAGTAAAATATAGTGCCTTTTAGCGTAGTAAAATGTAGTACCTTTTAGCGTAGTATAATGTAGTGCCTTTTAGCGTAGTAAAATGTAGCGCCTTTTGGCGTAGTTTCCCTGTAGTTTAAGTATCTCTTATACTCAAAAATACGTCAAAATAACTTATAGATCAAACACAAACTCTGTCCAATTATAGTCAACATATATTTGGTACTATTGCGCCGCAAATATTAAGCCTGGAACCCATATATGAATATTTAATAATTAAATATTATATAATTATGAAAATTAATTATTTAATTTACAAACAAACATATAAAATTATAAAAATAACATATAAAATTATAATAAAACTAACACATAGAAGAATTGGGGATAAATTGGTGCTACTGAGCTCCAAATATCGAGCCTGGAACCCATACATGAATATTTAATTATAAAAATTAATTATTTAATTTACAAACTAACATATAAAATTATAATAAAACTAAAACATGGAAGAATTTAGGATATCTTTGTGCTACTGGGCCTCAAATATCTAGCCTGGAACCCTTATGTGAATACATCATAATTAAATATTGTATAATTATAAAAATTATATTTGCTATTAATTAGTTGTAGAATCTGAATAGTGGATTATTTCAGTTAAAGAACATATAGAAAAAGGCATCAGCCACCGATCAGAGATTTTCTGTTCAGTCGCTTTATTCGCCGTCGGAAAGGCATCGTCAGCGAGCATCACCCATCCATCATATTGTGATTCTTGATTGCAGAGACGTTATTACTCTATTGTCTATTCACCGATTCTTTGCAAGACCCATTCTTCAAGCTTTCCAGATAAATTAGAAGTACTTGACCGGAAACAAATCAAGATCCGATAGATTGAGAAAATTCTAGACGATCAAGACCCGATTCGACTGAGAAAATCAGGAAGAACAGTACTGTAGGATTTCTGATACACTTTGTGGGTTCTTTTACCGTGCGGCGGAATCCGATTCTCACCGTCCTCGCCGTCTGTCACTTCTCTGATTCTCTCTGTACTCTTCCTTCAGTATTTTCACCAATCCGGCACGTTTACCGGCAAGGACGCTGCCGCCGTTACTCCAGTACTGTTGAATTTTTTCTGTGATCTCAAAAGATATAAAACAGATTTTTGGCTTTAAGGGTAATTTGTAGAAGATATTGGTTTTCATTTCTGGGTTTTTTGCTACCCTATTCTCTTGGTTTCGTGGGTGTTTGCGTATTTTGCAGGTATCATTTTTGGGAGGTGCACACGCACAAGCAGTAAAGTAGTAGCTATACGCCGGGTTCCGTAGCATCGGGAGTATACCAAGTCGAGAGTTCCAGGTTCTATTCATGAGAATTGGTACCTCCCGCCTCTTGTTTTTTTGTCTCCTGTGTTAATTACTTTATTAGCGTAGTATTTCATAATAGTCTAGTCAGTTTAGTGGATTTGTAGTTACTATTTGCTCCCTTTGTTGTTTTGTGTGGTGTTTTTTCTCCGTTTCATTTTTAGACCTTCGTAGGTATAGAGACTGTGGTTTGTAATGGCAGAGTAGGGTCATGTCCTCGGGGAGGTCGGGTGGTGGGGAGGGGGGTAGGGCAAGGATCGGGAGGTGGGACGGGGCCCAAAGGGGGTAAAGGAAAAAAATAGCCTATAGGTTGAGAGTTGGATCCTGGAATATAGGGACGTTGACGGATAAGTCTATAGAGATGGCGAAGATTCTCTAGAAGAGGAGGGTCAATATAGCGTGTGTAGAGGAGACTAGATGGGTAGGATCGAAGGCAAGGAATGTAGACAGGTATAAATTGTGGTTCTACAGAGTCGTGAAGGGCAAGAACGGAGTGGGCATTTTGGTGGACAGAGAGCTTAGAGAGTCGGTGGTAGAGGTTAGACGGGTGAATGATAGATTGATGGCAATTAAGGTAGTATTTGGAGGGAGCACTCTGAATGTCATTAGCGCTTACGCATCGCAAACGGGCTTGGACAAGGATGTAAAATGGCACTTCTGGGAGGCACTGGATGAGGTGGTGCGGGGTATTCCGCCGACGGAGAAGCTATTCATAGGAGGAGATTTTAATGGTCATATTGGGTCGTCTGCTAGTGGCTATGGTAAGGTGCACGGTAGTTTCGGCTTTGGTGATAGGAACGAGGGTGGTACCTCACTGTTGGGTTTCGCTAGAGCTTTTGAGTTGGTGATCGTGAACTCTATGTTTCCGAAGAGGGAGGAACATTTGGTTACTTTTTGGAGTATGGTGGCTAAGACTAAAATTGACTATCTCCTCCTCAGGAGGTGTGATAGGGGGTTGTGCGAGGATTTCAAGGTGATCTTGAGTGAGAACCTCGCAACTCAACATAGGCTCCTACTGATGGACGTCGGTATTTTGATAAAGAGGAAGAAGAGGTTTGTACGGGGTCCATTGAGTATCAGGTGAAGAGCTTTGTCTAAAGATAATGCGCAAGGTTTGGAGGGGCGGCTAACAAATATGGGTGCCTGGAAGAGTGGTGGGGACGATAGCGCTATGTGGACGGCGACGGCAGACTGTATAAGGGAGGCAACAAGAGAGGTGTTGGGAGTTTCAAAAGGATATTATGGCGGGCACCGAGGTGACTGGTGGTGGAATGACGTGGTCCAAGGTAAATTTGAAGCCAAGAAAGTGCCGTACATTAAGTTAGTAAAGAGCACCGACGATGATCAGAGGAGAGCGAACATAGAAAGATATAAGGAGGCTAGGAAGGAGGCAAAAGTAGCAGTCACAGAGGCTAAGACTACTGGTTTTGGTCGGCTTTATGAGGAACTTGGAGACAAAGGTGGGGATAAGAAGTTATTTCGATTGGCCAAAGCGAGAGAGAAGAAGGCCCGCGATCTGGATGAAGTGAGGTGCATCAAAGACGAGGATGATCGAGTATTGATGGAAGAGGCCCAGATTAGGCAAAGATGGCAGTCATACTTTCATAAACTTCTGAATGAAGAGGGGGATGGAAACATCGTGTTAGGGCAAACGGGGTACTCCGAGAGTCACCGAGACTTTAGGTATTGTAGGCGCATTAAGGTTGAGAAGGTCGTGGGTGCGATGGGTAAGATGAGTCGGGGCAAAGCGACCGGACCTGACAAGATTCCAGTAGAGTTTTGGAGATATGCAGGTAGGGCAGGCTTGGAGTGGTTGACTGGGTTGTTTAATGTTATCTTTAGGACAAAGAGGATGCCTGATGAGTGGCGGTGGAGTACAATGGTTCCGGTGTACAAGAACAAAGGTGATATCCAGAATTATAATAACTATAGGGGTATAAAGTTACTAAGTCATACCATGAAAGTATGGGAGTGGATGGTGGAAGGGAGGATAAGGAGGGCGGTGTCTATATCGAAAAACCAGTTCGGGTTCATGACGGGTCGTTCTACTACGGAAGCTATCCACCTTATCAGGAGGTTGGTGGAACTATACAAGGATAGGAAGAGGGATTTGCATATAGTGTTTATTGACCTATAGAAGGCATATGACAAGGTCCCTAGGGACGTCCTTTAGAGGTGTCTAGAAGTGAAAGATGTGTCAGTGGCTTACATTGGGACGATAAAGGATATGTATGATGGAGCTATGACTCGAGTTAGGACTGTGGGAGGTGACTCAGAGCCTTTTCCGGTGGTTATGGGATTACACCAAGGATCTGCGCTCAGCCCGTTCTTATTTGCTCTGGAGATGGACGCACTGACACACCATATCCAAGGAGAAGTTCCATGGTGTATGTTGTTCGCTGATGATATAGTTATGATTGATGAGACGCGAGGCGATGTTAATGGGAGACTATAGGTATGGAAGCAGGCTCTAGAGTCTAAAGGTTTCAAGTTGAGTAGGACTAAGACAGAATATGTGGAATGTAAGTTCAGCTACATGACGAGTGAAGTAGATGTGGAAGTCAGGCTTGACTCACAGGTCATCCTCAAGAGAGAAAGTTTTAAGTACTTAGGGTCAATTATCCAGGGAGATGGGGAGATTGACGGGGATGTTACGCACCGTATTGGAGTGGGGTGGATGAAATAGAGGTTAGCGTCTGGAGTCCTGTGTGACAAGAATGTGCCACTGAAACTCAAAGGTAAGTTCTATAAAGCGGTGGTTAGACCGGCCATATTGTATGGAGCTGAGTGTTGGCCAGTCAAGAATTCACATATCCAGAAGATGAAAGTAGCAGAAATGAGGATGTTGAGATGGATGTGTGGGCATACTAGGTTGGATAAGATTCGTAATGAAGATATTCGGGAGAGGGTGAGCGTGGCTCCCGTGGACGTCAAGATGCGGGAAGCGTGTCTTAGATGGTTCGGACATGTGAGGAGGAGAAGCCTAGATGCACCGGTTAGGAGGTGTGAGCGGTTGACTTTGGCAGGTACGAGAAGAGGCAGATGGCGGCCTAAGAAGTATTGGGGCGAGGTGATCAGGCAGGACATGGCGTGGCTTCAAATTTCCGAGGACATGGCTCTTGATAGGAACATGTGGAGGTCGAGCATTAGGGTGATAGGCTAGGGGGTAGTCGAGAGTTCTTCCCTCTTTGTACCGGGTAGTCTGATAGAGTTTCGTTTAGGTTTTTTAGCGGTCTTTGTTGTATTCACATTGTTGTTTTGCATAGTTTAGTGTTATTGTCCTTTCACTTATTTGTTGTGGTTATTTTCTTTCTGGTATCTTTTGTTGTTACATATCTTTTCTCTTGTTTCTTTTCTGATATTATTGCCTCTCCTGTTGAGCCTAGAGTCTCCTGGAAACAACCTCTCTGCCCTTTTCGAGGTAGGGGTAAGGTCTACGTACACTATACTCTCCCCAGACCCCACTAGTAGGATTTTACTGGGTATATTATTCTTGTTGTTGTTATTGTTGTTGTATAATTATAATAATTAATTCTTTAATTTACAAGCTAACATGTAAAATTAAAAAACTAACACATTGAATAAATTGGTGCTACTGGGCTCCAAATATCGAGCCTGGAACCCATATGTGAATATTTAATTATAAAAATTAATTATTTAATTTACAAACTACCATATAAAATTATAATAAAACTAACACATGGAAGAATTTAGGATATCTTGGTGCTACTGGGCCTCAAATATCTAGCCTGGAACCCTTATGTGAATACATCATAATTAAATATTATATAATTATAAAAATTAATTATTTAATTAAAAAACTAACATATAAAATTATAATAAAACTAAGGCGTAATGGCTTCCTGGCCACATAACCTTGTAGGGCTTTCGAAAGCCGATACACGAACTTTGAATTTTCCCATTTGAACACTCCAACTTGACAAAATGGGTACTAATAAACATATCCACCAGAGCGTGTATATCAATTGCGCTGACATGTACAACACATCATGCTAAGCTATTTATTACTTGGCATGTGTTATTTGTGGGTTCCATTTTTAAATACAAAATTAGAAAGAAAAAAGTTACAAATACAAAAAAGGAAAAGAAAAAAAAATGCCTGAAACATACCTAGTATTAATTTGTACTCAACAGCCCCCTTCTTCTTCGTTCACCCTCCTCCCTTCCTTTCTTTACTCTTCTTCCTTCTCCTTTCTCTTTTTCTTCATTCTTCTTTCTCTCTTATTTCTAAATCAAATTCACAACATCACCATGGCCATAATTAGACCATAAAAGAATTTGGAATTTCAAAAAAAAAAAATGACAGAAATCCATGATTTTGAAAGTGGAGGTCGCCCAATATCATTGCAAATTTGCATTTTTTTTTTGCTATTTTGACAAAGATGAATTCGATGATAGAACAACGACAAAGCTCAAGCTTTCTTCCGACCACTGGTTGTTGAGGAATGTTGGGACGGAAATAGTGGGTTGAGACTAGAAAAAATTATTTAAGGGGAAGATGAAGGAAAAAAACAGAGAAAAGGGGAGGGGAAGAGAAATTAGGATGAGAATGAAAAAAATGGGTGGGAGTTTTGCTGAGAAGACGAAAGAATTGGAAGGGGAGGGGAAAAGAGAAGGGTAAAGGGAAAAGTCCCTTTTTTTCTTTTTCATTTTTCTTTTTTTTGTGATGACCCAAAAAGTCATCACTTGTTTTTAAAATGAACTCTGCATTTTGAGGCCTTAAAACCTCTTTCAGCATCATCTCAATCTGCATGCGCAATCCGGTCGCGTATCCGTAAAGCCATTATGTGAAAATCTATGAAAAATGATGAATTTTGACTGTAAAATAGATTTAAATTGACTTCGGTCAATATTTTGGGTAAACGGATCCGGACCTATGATTCGATGGTCCCAGAGGGTCCGTAGAAAAATATGGGACTTGGGCGTACGCCCGGAATCGGATTCCGAGGTCCCAAGCCCGAGAAATGAATTTTTTAAAGAAAATTATTTTCTAGAAATTTTTATGAGTTTTGGAAGTGAAATGCATTTAGAATCTGATGGTATCGGGCCCGTATTCTGGTTCCGGAGCCCGGTACATATCTTATATGTGATTTAAGATAAGTCTGTGAAATTTGGTAAGAAACGGAAGTCGTTTGAGGTGATTCGGACTCGTAGTTGTGAAAATTCATACTTTGAGGGTTTTGAGATTTTTCTTAAATTTCTATGCTAAATTTGTGTTTAAGAGGTTATTTTGGCGATTTGATCGCACAGATAAGTCCATATGATATTTTTGAGTTAGTATGCATGTTTGATTTGGATTCCCGAGGGCTCGGGTGAGTTTCAGATGGGTTTTAGAAAGTTTTGGACTTGGAAAAAGTTGCAGGTTTTTCAATTTCTGGTGTTCTGGTATGTTCTTCTTCGCATTCGCGGAAGGACTCTCGCGAACGCTAAAGGTTAGTTAGGCTGAAGGAAATCTCCTTCTACGCGAACGCGAGATACAGGATGCGAACACGAAGCTTTGGGTGTGTTTCCCTTCGCGAACACGGACCTGCTATCGCGAACGCGAAGGCCTTTGGGCCTGGGCAGGGAGAAGGGAATTTTGTGCTACGCGAACGCGGTCACTGGCCCGCGAACGCAAAGGATCGAGGATTCAAAGATATGCGAACGCGAGCCGACGAACGCAAACACGATGATTAATTGGCCTGAGCCATCGCGAACGCGATGAAGGTCTGTCCAGTGATTTTAAAGCAGAAGCAAAAATGGGACTTAACCAAAATTTCATAACTTCTTCTTCCAAACTCCAAATTGGGTGATTTTTGAAAGAGAATTTCACTACAAATCCATAGGTATGTAATCTTAGACTCATTTTCTTCAATTTCCACTAACACCCATTAGATTTCTAGGCTTAAATCATGTTCTTAAGGGTAGAAAATTAGGGATTTGGATAGAGTTAGGGCTTTTTGCATAATTGGGATTTAGACCTCGTTTTGGGGTTGGATTTTGAACTAATTACATATTCGGGCTCGTGGGTGAATGGGTGATCGGGTTTTGGTTCGAACCTCGTGTTTTGACCAAGTGGGCCCG